CCCAGTGGATTATGCTGGGATTTAGCTCTAGCTGGGTTGGCAGCCAGGAAAGGAAGTTGGACAGCTCCTGAAGGGAGCACCTATTGCCTTGAGAGATAAAGTTCTCTAAAGAGTCCTCCAGTACTGCAGAAGTGCTAGCTGTATTCAGGGAGCGATGAACCACCTATACAGGAAAGTCTACAAAGCCTCAATCCTTGAAGATATTCACTCACATGTTCCCATTCTATGTTTCAGAGTCCCAAGTTTTCTCAAACAGTGCCCTCATTTTAGCCTAAGAGATATGCCTTGGCTGGACAATTAATCATATCCTGGATTTTTGCAAGTGTAACTCTTAAGTTCTGCATTTCCTCCTCATCTCTGTCTGCTTTCCCACTGAAGGCAATAATGTTCTCTTTATAAGCTTCCAGAGAGGCCCTCTGACTCTCATCCTTACCCTTTAAGGTATTAAAACTACCGTCAACTATTCTCAGTTTTTCCTTATCTCTCTGTGGGGCATCAATACATTTAGTAATAACTGGCCAATGCCACGGTCTTTATATACAATGTTTCCCCCATAACCTTCAAATATGCTTCAATCAGCAACATGGTTCCCTCCATTTGGATGTTTCCTGAGATAACCACCAGTGAAATCTTCAGGAATTGGGCTGTCACATTGTTTCAGATACTATATGTGCCCCAAACTCAGGATGGGTTGCTCCTTGCCAGCCAGGTGGTGGGTGATCCCAGAACCCCATCTTACTGTGTACTTTCTTGTATTTTTCATGGTATCAACTGGGTCAGTTTAGGTGGTCTGAGAAGCAGATGCCAAGATGGGATTAGAAGAGCAAGAGATTTGTTGGGGCAAATGTTTGTGAAAACTAAAGGAAGAAGGAGCAGGAGTAAGCTGGGAAACCTTCACATGGGAATAAGGTCTGACACCCAAAAGGAGAGGGAGAAGCAAGGATAAATAGGAGGAAGACCCTCGAACTGCAAAGCAGGTTTGACTAAGTCTCACTGACTTAAGCGGAGCTCTGGTGCAAAGACTGCTTGTTGGAGGAGTCCATCTGCATTTGGCAGAGGTGTGCATACTCTAGTACCTCTGCAGTGTTCAGTCCTAGGCTAGGAGCAGCCCACAGACAGTGTGACCTCAAATAAAGCATACTTATGCCAATATATATTTGTTATTTGTCTGAAATTCAAATTTAATTGGATATCCTGGATTTTCATTTACTTAGTTTGTCAACCTTTCCATAATGGCAGGGTTAAGGTTTTATGTAGGCACAACAGCATGGTCACCAACTCACTAAGGCTAACTTAGTTATTGATTTTGCCCATAACAGAGACCAATGATGAGTCCTGATATACCACCATTCTTGGAGAAAATCAACAAGTGACTTGGGGACAAGTTGACTACATTGAGCCTCTTCAGACTTGCATAGGGCAATGATTCATCTCAATTGCAATCAACACATTATGGATATGGGTTTGCCTTTCTTTCCTGGAGGACCTCAGACAGCTCCACTATTCAGGAGCATAGAGTGTTTGATCTACTGGGACAGGATTTTATATAACTTGATATGGACCCATAGATCCACTTTCTGGCCAAAGGAGTCCAACATTGGGCACATGCCTGGGATTCTATTATATATCACTCCACTGAGAAGGTGCTGGCCAGATAGAATGATGAAATCGTGTGTTGAAGGCACAACTGAAGAGTCAGCTTGGAGATGATACCCTTAGAGGATGGGGTGTTACCCACCAGGAAGCATTATACATCCTAAATCAATGACCATTATAAAGGAGGATATATAGGTTTGGGAACTAAGGAGTAGGAATAGGAGTTGTCTTGCTTATCATCACTCCCAGAGATCCACCGGGGTAATCTGTACTTCCCATCCTAATAATTCTGGGTTCTGCAGGTTTAGAGTTCTTGGCTCCCAGATTGTGCCTTTACCAGAGGACAACAATGAGTCCCATTAAATTTAAATCCACGGCTGGTGCCTGATCACTTTTGGCACCAGCCAAAAGAACACAAATAACCATCCTGACAGGGAAAATCGACCCTAATAATTGGGAGGAGATAAGGGCACTGCTATACAGTGGGGACAGGCAAGAATAGGTTTGATGTCTAGGTGACCCACTTAGGTATCCCTTAGAAATGACGAACAAGTCCTCCAGCCATGGCTTGAGAAGAGCAAGATCTCAGACCCTTCAAGGACGAAACTTATAGTCACTTGACCAGGTAAGCTACCTAGATCAGGAGAGATACTAGCTGAGAGTGAGAGGAAATTCAGAATTGGTAGTGTAACACAGACATGATGATTATCAGTTAAGTTTCTAAGACCACCTGCAGTGGCAGGTGCTATAGTGTGTTTCATTGATCTTGTAAGTTTTCCTCAGGAAAAGGAGCTCAATGTAACCATGGGTAAATTTCTCCAGATTTTATTTATCTGAAGCAAATGAGCCTGAACAAAGTGAGGGATGAACTATAGTGGGTACTGTGGTGTGCTACCAAGACCTTCCACATCCATGTCCCTTTGGGACTGAAGCTTTCATTTCTCCAACAGCTGAGATTGCTGGAGGCTCACAGCCTTCAACTGAGTCCTTCTCCAGACACATCCAAGTTCATGTCCCTTCCAAGTTCATGCTCACATCCAATAACTGATAAATGCAAGAGTATAAAGGCCCAGTTCCCTTGCCCTGATTTGTGACAATTTGGAAAGCCCATCCCAACTCCAAAACTTCCCATGTGTACAGCTGAGGACCTAATGGTGGCTGCATTGACCCTAAGAGCACTCCCGAGTCAACCTCCTGCACGCTAATCTCAGTCTCAGAGATTGCTTCCCAGAAAAACTAACCAGTGATAGTGTGTTTTGCTATACATTTTTTGGCTTTTCCTTTAGTTATTATTTCTTAGTATGGACAAACTGGTGTTTTATGTCATGTTTATAAAGGCCTTTCCCATCTCAAGAATATAAACATATTCACCCATATTGTCTGATGATTTTCTTTAAAAGTTTTAAGATGTTTGTTTCATCTGTAATTTTGATGTAGAGAGAGAGAGCCCCAGTTTGTTTTTAGATGAGTAACTAGTTCTCCTGACACTAATTAATTTTTAAGTTCCTCTTTCCCCAAAACTTTTCTAAGGTATAATATGCTTTTATCCTTTTTCCAATTTCTAGGTTTCAACACTTAACTCATTTATCTTCCATTATGTTTAGTAATTGAAATGCTTAAATCATGAAATTTTCTCCAAGTGCGGTGTTGGCTGCATCCCATGAGTTTTAAAACACATGTAATTTTTTCTTCATTAATTTAATTTTTTGATATTTATGCACCCAATTATGGTTTTAACTTCTTCATTTTTAAAGAACTGTTTACATGAGCTTTTTAAAATTTACAAATGGTAGGAATTTTATTTGTTTTTAGCTTTACTGTAGGGTGATTAAGGAATCAGGTTTGCACTATTTGTTTCAAAATGCATTTAAATATGAGTGCTCACAAATTTGCATGTCTCCACTGCTCAGGAGCCAGGCTTCCTTCTCCCCCCACTGCATCTAATATAAGTAAAAGTGAGGAAATATTTTCCCTGTTCTAAATTGTTACTTGTAATGTGCTCTGGGTTAGGACATTAGAAAATACACAGTAGAGGCATGTGGATTTCTTACAGGGAAAGTGTTTGAGCATCATTTCAAGAACTTTATGGCAAAACTGTTGGCTGTTCAGATGTCATTTTGTCTCCTCCTTAGTTCTTATTGCTGTTTCTGACTTTCCTTAGAGTTGGATGTGTCAAAGGATGCCAGGGCCAACATTTCCCAATATACCTTTAGAAAGTTTGTTTGAAGGGTAATCAACCAAGATCTCCAGGCTTGCTCTAAGCCAAGACAGGGTATTAGGATTTCTGGGGTCTGGCCCCACTCCACTACTGACTGGTTGTGTGATAATAGACACTCCGCTCTGTGCCTCAGCATCCCCATCTTTAAATGGTGGTGGTGGGGAGTGTTTTGAGTTTGATGGTCTTTAGGAAACTTCTAGGTGACTAGATGAAGCTAGAATCATGGGCAAAGCAAAAGGGACATGGAGGGGAGAAGTGGCATAGGAGTAAGTAAGGGAATCATTAAAAGGGGGCCACCCGCTTGGTCACTCTCTTCCCTTAAGTTCTCCACTGAGAGAAGGGGACATGGTGTGGGCATGGTAGGTCTGGGAGTCATGAATGGGAGAGGGTAACAGACAAATGTTTGGGTCACTGAGTTAAGATTTAAAACCTGAGCTGAGAGCAAACTTGAATGCCCAAGAAACCAGCCATACCTTCTATGCTTTGCTGATATATTTATTGATATATTTCCCCTTCTCACTTGATGGTGACAAAAAGCAGATGGATCCCCATCCTACCCACCCCCCAATAAAATACAGACACAGATTTCATTCAGCATATACAAGCATTGGGGCGTGTCCAAATTCACCTCACTGGGTTACCAGAGCCAGGAGAGGTTAGATCTTAGGGGGCAGTCTGAGCACCTGAGGCCCAGGAATTGAGCAGGCCAATGCTGAAAAGAGGCTGCCACTCTGGGCCCTGCCACTGGGGTGCCAGCAGAGGCTATAGAATCAAATCATGGTGAAAAGAGCTGCCTAGCCCTGTCATGTGGTATAGAAGGTGACAGTGGGCTCCTGGGTAGTTTCCAGTGAGATCCACAGTCCCATAGAAATCTGTGCGTCAGGGTTCTCATCTGCAAAATGGGGATAAGAATCCTGCCCTGAATATATCACAGGGCTATGAGACTCAAAATAGAAATAATTTGTCAAAAGTGCTTTTGCAAAAGGTAAAGTGCTATACAAATTTAAGGGAATTCAATTGATTGATTGTGATTGTCAGAGTGCCCCAGGGATAGGAGTGGACTGGTTCATGGGTCCAGGGGCCAAGGAAGTGGCAGAACTCCTATGCTGTGCCTTAGCTGGGCACCAATCAACGCGGGTAATGCCCACTACAAAGCAGAGTTCCCTTAGTTTCTTGGCTCCGGGAAATCACCATGGCCTAGCACCTGGGTCGGGGCTGGGAAAGTCACTGGGAAAGTTACAGAAAGAGTCACAAGGGTCAAGGAGGAGGAAGAAGGTGGCATAAAAAGCAGGGGGTCATAGTATCATCACACACGAAAATAGATACCCACTGGATGCAAGGTATTGAATTGGTACTGCAGATGAGGAATGAAGGCCAGCGGGGAAGGGAGATGGAGATGTCACAGCAGCAGAGGGAGGGATACTGTCCTCAATTGCTGACTCCCCTCCTCCTAAAGGGATAATGTCAGTGTCCGTCTATCTGCAGGGGAAGGGAGGTCAGGGAGACAGAATCAAGAATATAATAATCTGACTTAAGGATGGGGATTCCCTCCTGCTGCTAACACTGCTGCCCAGCATCTTAAGGAGGTGTCAGGAACAGGCAAGTAGCTGGTCTGTGCACTTTGAGGCTGAGGCCAGAGCTGGGCCTGGAGCACCACAAAGGCAGTACTGGGTTTCTGGGAAAAGGCAGTGGGTATTAGCCCTTTTGGGAGATAGCTAATCCACTCATACATGGACACCATCTTAGGGAGCTGGTCACTGAGAGCCTACATTTTGAAGCCTGAGCATCATAAATGCCCCTTGAGGAATAGAGAGGGGTGTCATTTTACTTGAAATGGGCTGCTAAGGAGATTCAGTGAATGGGCCAGGTAGGGGAGAGGGCCAGCAAGGACCAATTCTCTGCAGGCTTCTATTTGGGCAAGGGGGAAGGAAAGACACTCTCTAGTTTGCTCCTGCTGCTGCTGCTGCTATTTTCCCCCAACTCCCTAGGCAAAGGCTGTGGGACCTCCTGGGGAACTGGGGAGGCTGCCCCACAGGGTACCAGCTGGTGCCTACAGGTTAAGGCAAACAAGCCAGTAGAGCACATTGAAGAAAAAGAAGGTGACTGGGAAAATCACTCGCGAGTAGTTATCAAGGCGGTAGACATGGATGAAGAGGCGGCCCTGCTGCCAGGTGCTGCCCTCACAAGTGGGGACTGTGCAGCAGTACTTCTCGCACCACTTGCAACAGCCACCAGGGCGAGGGGTGCTGCCTGGCCTGACGGACTGCCGGGCTGGGCAAGATGGGCCCTCCTCTTCCTCACTCTCCTCTTCCTCACTTTCCTCCTCCTCCTCGGGGTCCTCAATGTCGCACACAAAAGCTTCCGGATGCTCGATGACACGGACACGGGAAGGGGTTGGGTCATGTGCATGGGCACGAGGCTGAAAGGAACAAGGGAAGAAGTCAGAACAAGGCAAGGGAAGGTGAACCAAGCCTAGGTGCTGCCTCAGGGTTTCCTGGAGATTCCGTCCTTGGCACACTGTTTCTTGCCCCCCAGAATTCCCACCATCACATCAGAAAGTTTACTCAACTCCCCCCAAAGCCCCAGGTTACCCCCATCACTTGGTGAGCTGGCCACCCATGTGTCATGAGTCCTAGTGCCCTCACTTGCATGCCTCCGTACTCCAAAGCCTTGCCACCACTCCCATACCCAGCTCATACATGACGAAGTTTCGGAGAACCACGGGATGCTGTCCGGTTGTAGGTCAGGAAGTTGAGCACAGCAAACTCCATCAGAGCACAGAAGCAGAAGATGAAGCAGATCGCAATATAGAAATCCAAGGCTGTGATATAGGAGACACGTGGGAAATTCTTCCGGGAAAAGGTGCCCAAAGTGGTCATGGTGAGTACAGAAGTGATCCCTGTGAAAGCACAGGAGTGGAGGTGGGCGGAGCTACTGCTCTATATATTACACTTTGGAAAGGACCCCTGAAAATGCAATTCTGTGCCTCACGTGTATGCTCACCTTACCCACTTACCTAAAGAAGTCCTGGCCGGAGCACAGTCTTTCTTGATCCAAAAGGAAATCCAGGAGATCATCGTGGTCACAGAAGAAGGAACATAGTTTTGAAAGGCCACAAAGCCAAACCTCCTGCTCACGTTGAAGAAAAGCGTCATGACTATGTAATCGCCTGGAAGATATTTTAAAAATATCACTTCATTACAGCATTGCCATGAGGGTCTCCCACACGCAAGACATGCATATTAAGGGTCCTATTGTTCAGCTCATGGGATGCCCACCACGGTCCTAGGATAGAGGCACATTAATCCAATGCCACACATGGAGGATCAGAAGAAGCCCGAGAGAAGATTCACAACAAGACTCGTGGTCAGTTAAGAGCTAAGCCAGGGCTAGAACCTTAATAACTTCTTTCTCAGTCCGCTGGCCCACATCGCACATCTGTCTTACCAGGGTGGGGGACAGAATAGTCAAATGAAAGCAGTAAATCAGTTAGGCTTCTAGATATCAGAACCACACAGTTAATGTCCAGATGGCTGACTGAGGACTTTACAACCACTGAGGTGCCATATCTAGTCTGCAGAATCATTGCCTTATATGTGCACTACTGGCCCTTACAATGTATACTCTCAGGAAATGAACTAAAAGTGATCTGTGGTGGGGGAAGCACAGAAGCTATTCAGCCTCCTTCCTATACATTCATATGCTGGTGAAATGCCTTAGTTAGCACTGTTCCATCAATGGCCAAAAGAAATCACTTGCCTCCCCCAAACCTCTGATGGTTTCCTGCTCCACAGGAGCTACAGAATCAAGTCTACACTCTGTAATCTGACACTAAAGGCTCACCACAACCTGGCTCCAACTGACATCTTACACGTACACCCTACTCTAAGCTAACCCCCATTTACTCAGATTCCCCGAGATATCATGCATATATTTATACCAATATTCAAACCCTGGACTCCCTGTTCTTAGTCTATTACCCTAGCCCAAATTGAGTGTTTCAAGAAAATAGAAGAATTAGTTGAAAGTGAAAATTTCAGTCAGCCCTCTAGATGTCAGGTCTGCAGAGTATACATCCACAAGGCAGACTGAGGTCTTCGCATTCATTGGGTATCATGTCCTTGATGTTGGCTCTCAGCCTAGATAGTGATGGCCCCTATAGGACCTGATGACAACCTATATCTACAGTTGGCATCTTCTACTGTACATTTCATGTTGCCTTATACTCTGACACACCCATCCCAAACACTCTGCATGCTCACCATGACTCCAGGGATTTTGGAGTCTTTTCTGAGGCCAGAATATCCCTTTTTGCTCTCAACATCATGCTGGATTTATAATAGTTCAAATTCTGGCTCCTTAGTGAAGCTAAGCTCCAACTTTCCACCTCAGTGATGCTGTAGAATTCCCTGGCCTTGAGTTAGGTGTGTTTTTAAACCCCTTCATGACAGGGCTCATCTGAGCCCTGTTGCTACGCTCCTGCCCATCCATGCACAGCACAGCTCGGAACCTAGCAGATGCTCAACAACTCTTGCTACTTCCTGGCAACAGCTTTGTAAGGCAGACTAGAACACTAACCTGTCCATGTGTCTTCCTATTTTAGAAAATAGATCACCTGCCCAGCAATTCTGTGTATGTTGGGACTGAATGAGAAGAGCAGCCTTTCCTACTCACCTTGTCAGCACTGACACTCAAGGGGCAAGACTTCTCAGAATCTTCTGGAAAAAGGCAAGGAAGTAGCCTGGGGTCAGTTGAATACCTGTGTCCAGAATAGTAGCTTTGTGGATAGAACTCCTCCTCCAGGGCTGCTGCAGGGACCACTCGCACTTGCCTACTAGCCAGAATGTATTTATCAAGATCCTAGTTCCCTTGTCCTGGGGTCTTGACTGCAATTTAAGACAGCCCTACTCAGCTACAACCACTCCCCACAAAACTTTGCTGAGTTTATATATTCTTGTTACAACAAGATTTATTATTCTATCAGCTTTTTCTATTTTTATTTTATTTATTTCAGCAAAGAAGAACCTTCTCTACTTGTCAAGAGATGGGAATTTGTCTTTTAAGGCCAAGTGAAGGATATTAACACACACTTTCTTATTTCTGAGGAATGGAGGAGCATGGGTAAGGGAAAAAAAGATACCTGGGGCTAAGGAGCCAAAGGGGGAAAAAAGCTAGAGATGCTTTCTGCTCTTATCTGCTTTAGCCAGACCACAGTTGGTCACTGCACTGTCAGAGGAACACAATCAAAAAGACTGTGTCCAGAGGACTGGGACTAGAAGGATGAGTGGAGCCAAAGCTTTGAAGAACAAGGGGGAGAAAAAAGAACTATGGTTGTATAGTCTATAAAAGAATATGACCCAGGGCTGGAACCATAATACTAGTTCTTTTATCTTGACCCGGTGGAAGACTCACTGGACTTACTGTAAGCTCAGTATTTGTAGGGAAAAGAACTAAGTCTAATGGGTGGAAGTTCCAGAGACTCCAATTTCAGATGAACAGGGAGATTTTTCTGATGAACAGAATTGTCTAGAGAAGGAAGAAACTCACTTGCGAGAAAGCAAAATCCTAGTCATGGGTAAAATTCTATCAAAAGCTCAACAGCCAACAGTGAAAGATGACTCACTCACTGGGGGCAAGGCTGGACTCTCTGAATGCCTCCTGAAGCAGGGATTCTCTGGTTGAAGGCCCAAGGTGGCCAGAGTAGCATGCTCCCACTTCATTCTGAACGCTTAGGAGCTGAGTACATAAGTCTGTTCCAGATGGAGAGAACTGCCCAGGGACTGACTGAAAGAGTTTGGGTCCAGTCCCAAAGATAACTATAATACTGAAGAAACCATGATTCAAGATCAACTCATCTCTAGCAGAAGAGAAAAAAGCCCTTCTCCTTTCTCCCAAGAACCCTCTTCTCTCCCAAGGAGGACTGGTGCTTACCTATTGTCATTGCTTTGGTGATGATGCTGGCTCTGGGGCTTTGTAGTCACTAGGGCACCATTTTGAAACAATGCACAACCATCTACTAAACGGAACCACTAGTGACTTGAAAGCCCCTGGGCCTTGTCTCTTCTGCTGCTTTTTGATGATGGGTCCCCAACCTGTCTGGGGAAACTGAGGTGCAGAAAGGCAAGAGGCATGCCAATGGTTAGCTGGCAGAAGAGCAAGGGTCCTAAGTCAAAGGTAGTAAAATTGTTTACCCAGAGCCCCCAAGAAAAAGGAAAGCATTTGTAAAGCAGCCCTCTGCCCCTGCCTAGTGCTGTGCAAGCAAAGCTCTAGCCGGATGAGCATGAGCTATCCCTCACCCAGTGACCAATTCAACAAGTAAAGAAAAAGCAGATTTTCCGCCTAGCCACATGGAAGCAAAGCAAGATGCTTCCCATGGCAAATGGCTGGTTGGGTGACTGGTTCCATCCGTATTCTGGAAACGATGAGGGCAGTGCCGCCACTGCCCTGACTTGGTCAGTATTTGTGAAGAGGGTTTCCAGGGCTGCTCTGGGAGCAACGCTAGGGAGGTCCCTTGGCTCCTCATTCAGATCACCTAGGAACACAAGCAAAGACACTCACACCTAATTGGGAGCTAAAGTTTAAGAGACCCAGGACCCTCCCCTTTAGTCCTTGTTAGGGACAAGGTCAGAAAACCAGTGATCACCATGTCCACATTGAATCCACCATGAAGTCTTTCACAGGAATCTGTGCGTATCAGACCTGCTCCTTTAAAATAAATGTTGATATAGCAGCCACTGTAGCTGCTGAAACCTCCTCCATATTATCCCAGCCCTCACCTAGCTGATGACACAACTCAAGCCTCCACCTCCCATTAGGAAGGGCTTTGCATCCCACTCAACTAGAACCACTTGGATTGCTTCTGAGTATGGAGAAGTCACATGACCTCCATTTCCCAAAGTCATCCAAGTAGGTCAGTTGTAACAAAGACTTCGAAACTGAAGGGTCTGCATGACAAACCTAGTTGCAAATTTTGACAGCAATAAAACTTAATCTACTTACCTACCCTCTGCGGGGCTTGGCAAAGCACTTACTTCTTTGCAGATGAGACTGAGATGTAGTTACAAAGTCTCAGTTTCCTCTGCAAACAGTTGTAAGTGCTTAGCATTTACAAAACAGGAGCCATGTTCTACAGTATTTTCATGGGATGATTACATAAGCATTTGGATGAATGGATGGCCACCTCCAGTCATCCCTACCACCCTCCTGGGCCTCTGCTGCCTAGCCCTGGCTCAAAGGCACACTTACCAGCTACGGTTGTGATAGTTTCAGTCGTGTTGCTCACTCCTATAAAATCAAACTGGAAGAGCTTCCAGGAATTACTCTCATTGATTTCAAGCTTGAAATTTTCCCACTTGTAGATGATCTCATTCTCAGGATAGGAAACTGTAAGGCAACGTGGGAAGGAGAGTCATGTGAGACTGGGAAGCCCAGCTGAGGTCTCCACCAGCATGGTGTCTGACTCTGGCCTCACCAGCTGTGGGACCTTACCTCTCTTACCTCATTGCTGAAGTCCATCCAATAAGTGCATTTACTGAGCATTCCTCAGTACCACGCCCTGTGCTGGACATACAGAAACAAGCAAGGCAGGAGCCCTGCTCTCAAGCACTCACATTTTATTGAGTAAGACAGTAAGTACACATCTGTAATTGTTGGAATACCTCTGAGAAGCCTCCGCCCGCCCGTGGGAGAGTGTGGAAACAAAGAAGGGAAAGATCAGTTGGGGACACACCCAGAAAAGATTCCAGAGAGTAGGTGACATTCCTAATAAGTCTTAAAAGTCCAATATAAACATTCTCTGTATGGATGAGGCTGAAGGGGTGAGGAGGGTGTTCTATGCACAGAAAGATGAAAATGCCTGATGCATTATGGAAGTGTCAAAAGTTCAGGATGGCTAGCCCACAGAGGGTGGATGAGGTATGTAGGAGTAGATAGCACGGGCCAGTTCATGAAGGGCCTTGAAGGCTATTCTAAGCAATTTGGAATTGATCGATGAGAGTTCAGGAAGGATTTGAAACTAAGAAGTGACCTAGTCTAGATGATGCTTCAGCTAGGTCACTCTAGTTCTTATACGAGGATGGCCTGTTGTCAGGGAGACCAGTTATGGGAGGCCAGTTCAGTAACCAGTGCACAATAAAATGAATGAAGGCAGGATTCGAAGCTGTGGCAGTGAGAATGCAGAGAAATAGGATCGACAGAGATTCAGGAGGGAACACCAACAGGATGTGCTGATTGAATAGATGGGGAGGTGAAGGAGAAAGAAGCATCAAAGTTCTTGGCTTGGACAACTGAGTGGGTGATGGTGCCTTTCAATGAGACAAATGGGAACACAGAAGCAACACATCTGTCTTGGGGGTAGAGGTTCGGTGGAGACCATATATTTAGTTTTGAACATGTTCAGCTTCAAAGTGAAGATGTTGCAAAGTCCAAGTGGAATATGACAAAGACCTAAACCAAGGTAGTAGTGACAGTGGAGATGGAAAGCAGACATACTTGAGATACACTTCAGAGGCTGGTGACTGATTTGAGGTGGGGTGGACAGGAGAGGGATGAACCCAACGTGAAGCCCAGGTTAAGAAACACAGTATTGTTAGCCGGAAAGGAGATGAGGATGGATTGGGAGGCCCTGGACAACTTTGGCACCATCTTAGGGGAAAAAGCAGAGGCAGAAAAATGTAAAGGGAAAGGATAAGAAAAAGAAGGGGCCCAGCATGATGACTCTGGGGCCCCAGAAACCTAAGAAGGTACTCACAGCTAGAGAAAGACAGAGGGCAAGAGTGAGAATCCATTGGAAATTTGAGCATGTGGAGTGAGCATCCAGCATCAATGGTCATCCTGGAAGGGAGAAAGGAGCCTCATTAGGCTGACCCTGAACATTTAGGTATCCACCCAGCTTGGGCCTGGGGACCACCACCAATGTGTGGCAATGGTGGGAGCTGAGACAAAGAGCTCAAAGGAGAGACAAAAAGAGAGGAAGAACAGCTTGGAAATATCTGGCTACTCGGGTCTCCATCATCAGAGAAACGTATGGACTAACTTAGATGGAATTTTGCTTCTTTCCCATCCCACCTTCAAGGACCTGCCAACACTCTCCCACTCTTTATTGCCTCCCTGCCACCTTATCACCTGTACACAACCTTTCCCAGCCAGGCATTCAAGTATCCAGCCTGGTCTTAGGTATCTTTCCAACTGCTGTGTTGCTGCTCCGCCTGGACAATTCCACCACTGTGGACGTGTCTTTACATCAGTGCCCACTTGGGGTGGAACTGTCTACACAACACAGTCACCGTGCTACATTCTAGTTGGGGGAGCTCTGGACTTGGAGCCAAGTAACTAGATATCAGTCCAAGCTCTGCTACAAACTTGGTGTGTGGTCTTAAGCAATATCTTTCTATTTTGAGGCCTTAGTGTGTGTGTCAGTACATGAGGGGATTGAGCTCATGGTCTAGGAAAGCTGGAGGGGCCCTTAGAAGTATCATTCAGGATGAAACCTCTGCCCATGTTTCTTTGGCAAATATTCTCAGGAGGGGAAGAAGAGTCTCAAGAGGCAAGACTCCAGAGGCTTGACATACCTGATTGTGTACAACACCTTGCCATCCTTGTGGATGCGGACCATCTGGTTGGGCATGGTGATCGAATGCTCTTGGGTCCTCTTAGAATTCCTAAAAAAGGTGTCTGGGATCCATAACAGGCTCACCAAGTTGCCATTCAGAACAAAGCTTTCAAAGCTGCCGTTGAAACGAAGGCGTTCATCATACCAAGTCTGGTAGAAGGTGATGTCAATGGTGTATTCCTGGTGGCAAGGATAGAAAAGCACACATTTGGGGCTGTGCAGGCAAAGAACATTCCCATGCCATCCTGTGATGGGCCTATCAAGTAGATAGGGACCCACTTAGGTTTGCACAGAGGAAAACAGCATGAGTTTGGCTGTAGGATGTTTTCTATTTCCAGGTATTCCCAAAAGAAAAAAACATTCCTGAATGAACAACAATCTGGGAAGATGCATTTAATCCAGAAACACACAGGTGATGGTGGCTTAATTGTACAGGCTGGGCTCATCACGTCACTACTCCCTTGTAGCAGGCCAACACCCACTCAGCCCCCATATTTCCATAGCAAATCAAAGATCTCAGGTCAAAATCATTCTAAACATTTACAAACACACACACTTTTGATTGCATACAGTGAAGTTGCCCCTTTCAGCTTTTATTTGGGGAGCACAGATGTTAATTGACCCATGATTATTTGGTCTCTAGATATTGCATAGCCCATAAATTATTTTTTTTGAAGATAAGGATTCAATTTAATAAAACTTTACCACTCACAGACATGCAGAGGGAGGTAGTCTGAGGTTTGAGTAGCAACTAATTAAAGAAATTTTAAGGGATTGTAGTATTTAACCAAAACATTTACAGTCAGCCCTCTGTATCTGTTGGTTCCACATCTGCAGATTCAAATCCCCCCCCAAAATTCCAGAAAGTTCCAAAAAGCAAAACTTGAATTTGTCCCTCACTCGCAACTATTTACATAGCATTTACATTGTATTTGGTGTCATAAGTAATCTAGAGATGATTTAAAGTTTACAAGAGGATGTGCACAGGTTATATGTAAATACTACACCATTTTATATAAGGGACTTGAGCATCCTCAGATTTTGGTATCTGTGGAGGGTGGGAGGTGTCCTAGAACCAATCTGCAACATATTCTGAGGGAGGATTGTATTGAGAGTTTTCTATGTACCAGACACATGCTATGTGAACAAAATTCTCATGATTGGACTCTCAAGAAGCTTACAATTCTCATTAGCCTATAAATTATTAAACATCAAAAAGAATTTTTAATAGCAAGAAGCATGAGAAGCTAGAAATCTCACCACTGGTACTGAAGAGAGAAAAAACAGACTGTAATAGAACTGAAGGAAGCTGCTGGAACAGCAAGTACCAGAACTATGCCAAGGTAGAACCTTGAGGGCTAGGCCAATCTCCTTTATTTTAGAGGTAGCAACACTGAGGCTCAGAGAGAAAGGAGCCTCAAAGTTCAAAGTCAAACAGTTCATGGGAACATACTGGTTCTGATGCTCAGAGCACCGTTAACATGGCCTTGCCCTGGGACGACCTTCACCCATCTTCCTCTCCAGTGCTTACTTCACTTGCTCCAAGAATCCCTTTAGGATCAAGGTCCAGTTTTCCTCTGCAGGACCCCTAGGTCTTTCCCCTGAGTTATCCTGCATCAAACAATGAACACCAACTGGAAACCCACAACCTGGGAGGCCTGTAGAGCCCTCAGGGTGGGGATGCAGAGGGTCAATACAATCCCTGCTTGCCTTTGCTGATCAGGCCAAAAGGTGGTGAGAGCCACTGCAAAATTGCAGGGAGCCAGACCCCCAGGCCGAGAATGTTCCCTCGAGGAGTCCAGAGCATCACACAGAAAAAAGCTGGCAGCCTGGCTACCATTCACATGGGAGCCCCCAGCCCTGCCCTGCCCAGCCACACCAGCCTTCACAAGTGGCCTTCAGGGTGGCTCTGCAGTCCTAAGTGGCTGGCAGTTCCAAATTGGCCTACAGAACTTCTGGGTAGCCAGAGGAAGCCTTCCCCTCTACAATCCACGCCTGGCTCCTGCTCTATGTTAGAGTGTTTCAAATGAGCATTTCATTTCTATTTAACAAGATTCCAATTGTAACTTCACTACACATCAACTGATAACTAACGGTTCAGTTTTTCCCCAGTTTGACAAGGGGGCTTGTTTTCTCTCCCTGAGGACAAATTCTGAGCTCTACACAACTTCTGATTGACTGAAGGATGTTGGAACTCCTCCTCACCAAGCACTGGACTCTACAGAATCACCAGAGAAAAGTAGCCTGTACAAGGACTGGGACCTCCCACAGCTTTAAAGAACTATTTGGAAGTATGTAGAAGGCCAGACTTCTCCGGGAAATTTAATACCACGTAAGTGTTTGGAATGTTCTAAAGGCACTTGGCCCAGGCGATAGCACTATGTTACCAGCCAAAGAAAATCAAATTGTTGGCTCCTCTTTGGACCAGCTCTGTGTTGCATGCCAGGTTCGGTGACTGCTGGGTTATTAAACTGTATCTCTCAGGCTTGTCAGGTATCATCACTTCAGGTGAGCCCAATGCTGCCAACATTAGTAGGCATAGAGCAAAGAGGGATAGGGTATTCAGCTACTGTGAGTGGGGCTGCTGCTCTGCTGCCACACAGGCTCTTGCAGATGATAGAAATAGGTTTCCCAAAATTATATCTTACGCAAACAGCAAGGAGATTGTAGCCACAGATTTTCTACTACTCTTTAGGCCACTTTCTCCATGCCCCCACCAATGATCTGAAAGGTCCCTTTCCTATTAACAGTAAACAGTGGCCATGATGGTGGACCAGAAGAACTCAACCTCTGGCTCAGAACCCAGCGTTTCTTAGTTTATCAACAATTCTAATCAAACTGATTGCTAAATTCATACTCACTTAGTGGTAAGCACATTGATAACAGCAAAAAGAGTAAATCTGACATCAAGGGAAGAGGAAAAAAAGAGCTTTAAAATGTCAACAGAAACTCAAAAACATCTGTCTCCTCTCATGTTTCTCTTCTTCCTTGTTATTTCCCAAAAGTTTATGGCTTTTCCATCTTCAGCAGTTTTTCTCATGCTCTTGCTCACTCTAAGGGAAACCACCTGCCACATGGAGAGGCCCACATGGCAAGGACTGTGGAAGGCCTACAGACAGCAGCCAGAGAAGAACTGAACCCTGCCAACAACCACGTGAGAACTTGGAAGTGGATCCTCCCTTAGTCGAGTCTTCAGATGAGACCCCAGCCCCAACTGACACCTTAACTGCAGCCTTGTGAGACCCTGAAACAGAGGACCCAGCTAAGTCATGCCTGGATTCCTAACCCACAGGAGCTGTGACCTAATGACTACTTGTCATTTTAAAACACTATGTTTTAGGGTAATTTTTTTGCATAGCCATATATAAGTACATTGTGCCTCAAGAACTAGGCAGCCAAACAAAGCATCACAGTGGGAAAACCCACTCTTCCACTCAGCCTATGTAAACACCTTGATCTTCCATGAATATTTACTTACCTTTGAGTGTCTATTTGCAAGTGCCATCTCAGAGCCTAGACTCTGAGCTCACCCACTCACATGGTGCTTCTTGGGTACCAGTGTGTATGCTAAAACTGTGTCTGACTTGAGCCAGGTCAAGATTATGGCTGTGATGGAGTTGGTTACCACAGCCTTCCTCATTATCAGGCTCCGCAGATGAAAGTAACATTTGCAGAACATCTTTTATAATTCGTTTGCTCAGCTAATATATACTGGGTCCCTGACATCAAGAAACCCATAGTTGACAGAGCAAGGTAGACAGAGTACATAATTACAGTACAGTGAGGTAGAGAAGGTCAGGTAAACAAGTGTGATATAAGTTGAAGGATAAGGTAGAAAATTGGAACAATGCCATCCCAAAGTGGAAACAGCTTGAACAAAGGCTCAGAAGTACCAGATAGCCTGGGAACACCCGTATGCTAGTGTGACGAGTGCATGTGGTCTCTAAAGGATGAAAAGAAATAAAAATAGAGCCCTGGGTTGGCTCTAGCCATGGAGAGCCCTGACTGCTAGAGTGTGGGGTTGAACTTCATGCTTTAAGCAGGGTCAGGACTGCAGGAGGCACATCTATTAGGAGGCCAGGTTAGTAGGTAGATTGGGGGGTAGGCAGGGACCTTGTGTTTTGTATATATCAAGTGGGAGATAATGGAGGCTAACTGGGGACAGTAGTGACACTGGGATGATAGCAACAGAAAGAGAAAGACAAATACTGTATGCTAACACATATATATGGAATTTAAGGGAAAAAAACGTCATGAAGAACCTAGGGGCAAGACAGGAATAAAGACACAGACCTACTAGAGAATGGATTTGAGGATATGGGGAGGGGGAAGGGTAAGCTGTGACAAAGCGAGAGAGTGGCATGGACATATATACACTATCAAATGTAAAATAGTGGGAAGCAGCCACATAGCGCAGGGAGATCAGCTCGGTGCTTTGTGACCACCTGGAGGGATGGGATAGGGAGGGTGGGAGGGAGGGAGACGCAAGAGGAAGGAGATATGGGAACATGTGTATATGTATAACTGATTCACTTTGTTATAAAGCAGAAACTAACACACCATTGTAAAGCAATTATACTCCAATAAAGATGTAAAAAAAAAAAAAGGAAAGAAAGAAAAGGAGACAAGGAACTAGGGCAAAATTAGAGAAACACTCCTAGAGGAAGAGTTGGTAACTACAGGCTTAAGTCCAAAAAAATTCATTATCAGAAGAAAAGAGCAATCCACTGTGTTGTTTAAAGTTGCTTTATTATTTTTATTTTGAATGAAAGACAGGAAGATACAGTCAGGATTCTGAAGGTCCTCTTCAGGCAGCAAGGGACTTGTTCCTTTCAGCCTCCTTCTCAAGTCCATGTTGGTTAAAATCTCTCCCCCAAAAAACTCTTGTTACAGACACACAGAAAAAACAAGTATGTGAAAGCCCCACTATAATCAAAGCTCAGTACTCACCATGTCCAGGATAGAGATAGGCCCAAGGGTGTTGACAGAGAGCTCGACAGTGACCACAGTGGGCCTCTCTGTAAAGTAAGCAGAAGTGGCAGAGGTAAGTGTTAAACAGAAGCATGGGGCAGGGGAGGGTGTGGTCAGTGGGGAATAAAGGGGGTAAGGGTTGGACTACATGGTTTCAACATCCGATACCATTTCTTTCTTTATTCTTTCATGGCAAGATCCAATTCATAGATTGTTAAGAGCTGAACATACCTCGAAGGTCAATCACCTAGTCCAGTCATCTCATTTTATAGTTGGACAAACTGAGGGTGAGAGAAGGGAAAAATCTAGACCAAGGTCAATGGCATTGCTGAGACTAGAGTTGACATCTCTTACCTGGCAGGTCAGCAAAAGTTGTTCCTGCCCACATGCAGGGCACTATTACCTACACCCCAGGCCCATTCTCCACACTTAGGCCCTCAATCCTCCTCCCCTCTGGGGTGGGGGAGAACTATGTTCTGCTACTCACCGCCAATGCCAGGGCGCAGTTTGTAGTCATAGTTATTCAAGATACCATCCAGGATTTCAGTGGCTGTTGGCATTTTGCCAAGTCTGTCATGGGTATCAATAGCAGTGGGCTTTATTTCTTCAGGGGGGAGTTCCTTATCAGGAGCCTGGGGTTTGGGGCCATAGACATCATCATCACTGGCAGAGGGTCCCTTCTCTGATTCAACATGAGGTCCTTCAATCCTAGAACATAAAAACAAACAAGTGAAGCTCTGTCCTCTGCTCTGTAGGGGACCCAGCTGGTACTTCTTGGGACGGAAGCAAACCAAAATAAGCCTGCAACCCAGGGCATAGTTAAAGAATGACTGGTAACAGTAAATTAAGAGCCAGTAACAGATTATTCTTGTTAATTTCTTCTAAAGCTGCTGCTCTCTGGGAACTTCCCATGCTATCCTTTTTTTTATGGTCCTACTTTATTTTTAAAAAATCAATAACAAAAGCAAGTTTGAGATTTTAAAATAATTTTTAACGTAAAATCAAGAGGGTATTGGTGTATGAGCTCTGGCCAATCAGCTGCCATTACTAGCCTTGGTCTTAGTCTGCCTGACTAGTGACACCTGGGAGCAAATGGGCAGGCAGAGGGCCAGGATTGCTGAGGAATGCTCAGGAAAGCCACAGCACTCTCTCCCAGCGGGGGCTAGGACATTGGGAAAATTCTGCATTTCTTTGCTTTTGGGATACTCCACTGCATTGGAGTTGGGGGCTGGGGGTAGGGGAAGCTCTGAGCACTGAGAAAAGACAAAGACTGTCATTCAGGAAATAGATGGTCAACAGGAGTCCAACCTGAGTGCCACAACCATGCACCACAGCCAAAAAATAATATAAAGAATTAAACTAAAATTTTTTTAAAACTTAAAAAAGCCATCTGCTAATGTATGAAGCTCACTGATGGTGTTAGAAATCAGGGCCATGCTACCTTTGCTGGGAGGCAGTGAGGAAGGGGGCACCAGGGGGTGTCTTGATACCAGTGTGATCATTTTCTGACAACTCATCAGCCGTGCACTTAGGATCTGAGCACTTTTCTGCATATATGTTCTAATTCAATAAAAAGTATTTTGAAATCTGCAAATATATGGACCTTATTTGAATCGTGATTTTAAAAGGCAAACCATAAAAAGCAAAACAAACACAACACAACAAAAAAATATTTATGACACAATAAGGAAGATTTGAATACTGACTGGTTAGTTTCTTCAGCATGAAGAAGTTATTCTAAAAATGTTGGTATGATAGTGGTATTTTATTATGTTTTTGAAGTCCTTATGATTAGAAATACATACTAAAATAATTGCATATGAAATGATATGATGTCTGAGATTTGCTTTAAAAAAATTTAAGCTGGAAATGGAGAGTGGGTGGGATACAGAGAAAATAAGACTGGCTATGAGTTGATAATTAATGAGGCTGGTGATGGGTACATGGAAATTCACTCTACTGTTATATGTCTTTGAAAAAAATTTATAATTAAAAGCTTTTTAAAAAGCCATCATCAAAATTAATCTGTGATGTTGGAAGGCAGGAGAGTGTTTTCCTTTGGGGAGAAGGGTGTACTTGGAGCGGGAATGTGGTGAAGCTTTTGAGGGGTGGGGGAGTGGGCTGGCAATGTTCTATTTCCTGGTCTAGGTGCTGGTTACATGGGCATGTTTACTTTGTGAAAATCTACTCCTGATTTTTACACTTTTATATTCTGTTACACTTCCAAAATGATTTTATTTTTACAAAGGCAATTGGACAACTTGCTTCTGCAAATAAGGGGTTAACAAGGCAGGAGACGGGGCCATGGTCTCTGTACTGCAGACCAAGGAACTGCCAACTTGAGCAGCAAAATGCATTTTCCTGCAGTATTTCAAGCTCTTAGAATTGCTTAACTGGCATACAGATGTGCCAAGTCTATGCCATTTCTTATGTCTGAAGTGGCTAATTCCCACTGTGGGCAAGGGAGGAACTGGGCTTGGGAAAAGCAGTTTCCATTTCCAAATATCATATCCAGAGATGTCCTCTTTCCCTGAGGCTTTTCCCCCAGTCCTCTGAGTAGATCATGCCAGCCGCCGTGGGAGGGGAGGAGGGAGAACTAGGGAACTGGCATCCTGCAAAATGAGTGACTTGAATGGGAGCAAGGCATGATCAGGACTGGCACTGTTAGCCAAGACCACCCAAGAGCCTGCAATGACCCCTCCCAGAAGTCCAAAGTCAACAACAAAACCCCGAGGTTCAAGAGGCAAACAAACAAGCAAAGGCCCTAAGACCACCGAAGCCTTTCTGCTCCCAGACTACGTCTGCTATGGAAGTGAGATCAGAGGGTCTTGAGGTTGCTGTCATCCTACAAATAGCTTTGGTCAGTAAAAAAATTTCAAATGAACAACAACAACAAAAAACACCCTCATCCTGGGATCCTTGGGGTTAAGGAGCTGCTGACAATGTATACCTTTCCTCAGCTAGCCATTAAGCCCACTTTCAAAGCTAGAAATAATAGAAAAGTGAAAATACTCATGCACTGGACTAGTGGGATCTTTCCATGGGGGCTTTTCAGGCATCCACAATCCTCTAGATGTGATGATCTAAGATGGAGGTGAATTTCTGCAACCCCTCCCCCATGAGGATGCTCAGTCAACTAGCTAGGGAGAGGGAAGGGACCATGAGAAGGGCCACTGGATTGTATTTTTCCAAATCAGTCCTCTTTTTCGCCTTACAGATAGAGAAACTGAGGCCCAAATGGGGGGAGGAGCTGTGCCCAAAGTCACACAAGTGATTTTAAGCTGAGCCTGGACCAGAGGGAGGTGGTTCAAGGTGGCCCTTGCCAGCACACCCCGCTGCCACCTCCCCAGCTCTTTAATGACATCACAGGTTGCCCTGCTGACAGTGTCTGAACATCCGTTACTGCAGCCCTTCCCCCTGGCTGGAAGGTTAGTTTCCATCACAACGGCCCCTCTTCTCTGCTGTTTTCCTCTCTGCTCCCTCTCCCTCCTTCTGCACCACAGACCCCTCTTTTGCCCTAACCAGTCACCATGTCATCTCTCCCAACCAGTCCAATTCACATCTGGAGTGATGTGGATGACTGGAAATTCCTAGCACGCATTCAGAAATATTTACCAAGCCCCCTGATGAGGCCAGCCCCTCCACTCCCCAGTGCACCAATGAGTCAGCAGGGAGCCCCACAGCCCCTCCCTTGAGGAGCTAAAGCATTTTGGGGTGGGGAGAGAATCCATCTCCCGTCTCCCCCTCCCCAAAACAGAAAAGCAAGACAAGTCCAGTGACATGGAGGCTTCTAGAATTCTGGAAAGATCAGGAAGCTTAGGAACTTGTGACAGTTTGTGCCCAATGGGAAATCATCTCAAAAATATGAAGCAGTCATCTTCCACCCTCAAAAGCCAGAAATGCAGGGGACAACCTTCCTGGCAAAGTCCCAGGGCCAGAAGAAGGTGTGAGGGAAGCTGGCTGCTCAGGGGAAACCTGCTGCTAGTCTTTGGAAAAGCGGAGAGGTATTGAAATGCAGGACCCAAACCACAGACCTAAGAGATTACCATTTCTGCCCTCTGGCTCCCATCTGCCCAAGACCCAGCAGGGTGTCTGGGGAGATAAGGGCGGAAGAGAGAAGCTGGCAGCAGAGGGGGGATGAGGTGGACAGCTGGGGTGGGAACTCTTAGACTAAACCAGGGCTCCTGCCTGGGACTGGCACCAAGAGGAGTGGTGGGAAGGGAAGTAAGTAAAGTCAGAGTTGTCTGGCACAGTGCCTGGTACTCACTAGGCGCTCAGGAAAAAAAAAAATATATATATATATTTTTTTTTTTTTTTGAACGAGAGGACAGACTAGTCAACACTCAAACATTTTAAGCGCAGTTTCCACCCACTGCCCGCACGACTTTCTGGGCGCCACCTTCCCAAAGTTCCCCAGTCCCCCCAGTCCCCAGAAGCGCAAGCCTGCCCTGGCCACTCGCCTCTTCCCTCGAAAGGCTCAGAAAGGGAGGGACGTGCTCTCTCGTTCCCCGGCCGCCGCGGTGGTTTGGAGAGCGGGAGTCCCGAGGAGTAGAGGGAGGGGGGACAGGAGCGGCCAGGTGACAGGCGTCCTGTCTTCCTTCCTGGGAGCCCCTTCAGGGGCCCAGGGGGCTCGTCCTAGAGGAAGCGGTGCGGAGGCTTGCGGCGCGCGTCGAGGGGACGTGGGACCAGGCTAGACCGTGCGAGGGCCAGGGGCAGAGTGGGCGCGGGGCTCGAGGAACACGGGGTGCGGGGGTCTCAGGAGCCGGCCTCGCTCCCGGAGAGAGGGAGCTGGGCTCGGAGGGATCCTGAGCCCTGGGTTGGAGACTTACCTCGACGGAAGGATTATGAACGTGCCCAGTAGGATCAGGAGAACTTTGGTCAACATCGTGGCGGGGACCGGCGCGACCACCTGTGCGGAGGTCGCTGCGCAAGGTCTGGCCGCACTGAGCGCAGTGTGGAGGGTTTTGTTGGGCTCCAACTTTCACTCCTCCCACTTGCCCCGCCCCACGCCCCCCATCCTGGCCCCGCCCCCTAAGCCCCGATGGAAATCTCCGACGACGTGTTTGCTGCTGCAGAGGGAGGGGTAAGCTCCGGCGGGCGTGGGGAGGAGGGAGAGGAGGAAGGAGCCCTGTCGCCAAGGCCCCCCGCCCCCCGCCGCCACCACTGCAGCGCTGCCAGACAGCCAGGAGCGGGGGATGCGGGGGAGGGAGGAAGAGGCGAGCCTGCGGTGTGCGGGCCCCAGGCAGGGAAACCGGCGGCCCGCCGCTGCGGCTGGGAGAGAGGCTGCAGACTGGGCCTGGCAGGGGCAAGGTGGGGGGGGGTTGCGACTCCCTCAGCCCGCTGGTGCGCACTGGGGTCAGACTGTGGCTTCCAGCCCTTGGCTCCCCCCACCACCTGTTGCATCTCATCACTTTCCCAAGTCCCGTGACCTCTGAGATTTCCCCCATCCTCACTACACACCTTCCAGTCCTTCAGAGCACATCCTTTGGCATCCAAAGGAAGCTGAGTAACTTAGCATCTTCCTTGGCACGGAGGAAAGAAAGAGACTTGGGAGTCTCCCCAGGAAGCTCTGATCTGAGTTACCACACAGGCCATTTCCCCAGGTATTTAGGGGTGGGGGAGGACCCACCAACAGGGGACCAGCCCAAGGCATTCAGGGTAGGACTTTCTCTGATCCCAAAGGAAACAATGACACAATGTGGCTCACAGTTCAGTCCAGGGGCCTGGGTGTGAGAGGGACCACCTGAGGTGGAGGGACCTTGGAAATCCTCTTTCCAATATTGGCTGCCTATATCTTTCTGGCTCCTGGTGATGCCAGAAGTGAGAAGGCACTAGGGGTGGAGGTGGGGTGCAGGGGTCAGTGGCCCCATTCAGGGGGGACATCTCAAGTCTCAAGCATCCTCGACTTCATCTTTCTTGCCTAGACCCTCATGATTCACTTCAGAGGGGAAGGGATTGCAGAGATTTGCCTGTCAAGCTGATGCCAAACACTAGCAGCATCCTCACCTGTTGCTCTAGAACGGGCTGTGTGCATCCCAGCCCCCAGGACGGCTCCCTGGAGAGGCTTTGCTGTACCACGCTAATCTAATACACCCTCTCCATCACCCCACCCCCATCTCATCACTCTGCTTTGTCATATTCACAACACTGCTCACTAACTGATGATTTTCTTGGGCATTTCTTTGTGAGCTCGTTTATGGGGCAAGCTCAGTAACAAAAAAGAAAACAAAACAAAACCAAACAATGTGTCTGTCTGGATTTTTCACTATATCCCTGAAACTTAAGATGAGTTTTGGGCACACAGTGGGCACTCAACAAAAATTTGTTACCGGCCTGTGTGCAGCTGTGTGTGTCTAAGTGCCACTGAGTTCACTGGGATCTGGCTCCGTTCAGACTGTGCAAGAGAGAAGAAGACTGCAGGACACATTCAGGCCTCCTGTGTATATGCTTCCCAGCTGTGTGGCAGGGCCAGCCTCATGGGCATGTGGCCTTTTCAGCTTGACATGGCCCTGTACACAGAGGTGCCCCCATGCCTTGTTTAATGCTTTGCTGTTACTTTCTTGAAATTCTTAATAATTTTTGAACAAGTGGCCCTGAATTTTTATTTTTCCCTGGGCCCTGCGAGTTAGGAGCCACTCTTGCCCTAGGTAAACATGCTACAGAGCAGGGAACAGGCAAATGCAGAGCATTCCTGAGCCTACTAGAAAGAGAAATCTGCCTTTTTGCCCAGCACCAGACTGCTGCAGAGAGAGGCGATTCTGCACTTACTGTAGCCAGCCTTGGACTTGAACTGTCTTAGATGCATGTCTTTTTCTCTACTGACACTGGAGCTCCAGGAGATGGAGGTTTGTCTGATTTACCTGTATTCCCCTGGGTTGAGTGCAGTGCCCAATGACTGGCAAATTATATTTGCTGAATGAGTGACTGAATCCAGGCACCAAAAGAGGCAGATGGTTACAGCTTCCTCATCAGATGACCCCCCCCAGGGCAGCTTTCTCTTAAGGCTTGAGATTAATCACACTTTGCCATCTTCCTTATGAACCTCATCCACTGGATGACTGCAAGAACCTTTGCAAACTCTGGAGCCTTCCAAAAGGCAAGGCCTTTTTACTGTGTTGTGGTTCTCTGAGTACTTCCCAAGTGCTTGTCTATGCCAGGCCCTGGACTTGGTGATGGATGAATATACAGTAAGGCCTCGAACGCAGTTCTTGGCTCTCACATGTGTTTCAAGACAGGAGAGGGGATTTCTCTCAGAAATTACTAGCGCAAGTTAGGAAGTCATGATTGCCCTGGAGTTTCCAGGAAGATGGGCCTCCAACTGACTGGGCAGTCCTGGAAGCTGTGTGTAGGTAGGAGGATCCTGCCCTTCATATGGACTTGAACCTTGCAGCCATACATGGGTCTTACAGGCAGGGGTTCACAGATGGGCATTCCAAGCAGAGATCCAGCCAAGGTGTTGAAATCAGAAATGCGTGGTGCTTAATAGAGAATAAGGAGGAGTTTGTGGGAGAGAAAGCTGGAGTGGGAGGCTGAATAGGCTAATGCTGGGCCTTGAATTCCAAGCCAAGAACTTGCACTTGATCTTGTAGGCAAAGGGGAAGGTACAGAAGAGTTTTGAAAAGGGACACTGCATGTCAGAACTGTTCTTCAGGAAGATCCCAGCATTCCCACTACTGGGCATATACCCAGAGAAAACCATCATTCAAAAAGATTCATGTACCACAGTGTTCATTGCAGCACTCTTCACAATAACCAGGACATCGAAGCAACCTAAGTGTCCATCAACAGATGAATGGATAAAGAAGATGTGGCACATATATACAATGGAATATTACTGAGCCATATAAAGAAACGAAATTGAGTTATTTGTAGTGAGGTGGATGGACCTAGAGACTGTTATACAGAGTGAAGTAAGTCATAAAGAGAAAAACAAATACCGTATGCTAACACATATATATGGAATCTAAAAACAAAAAAAAGGTCATGAAGAACCTAGGGGCAAGACAGGAATAAAGACGCAGACCTACTAGAGAATGGACTTGAGGACATGGGGAGGGGGAAGGGTAAGCTGGGACAAAGTGAGAGAGTGGCATGGACATATATACACTACCAAACGTGAAATAGATAGCTAGTGGGAAGCAGCCACATAGCACAGGGAGATCAGCTTGGTGCTTTGTGACCACCTAGAGTGGTGGGATAGGGAGGGTGGGAGGGAGACGCAAGAGGGAGGAGATATGGGGATATATGTATATGTGTAGCTGATTCCCTTTGCTATAAAGCAGAAACTAACACACCATTGTAAAGCAATTATACTCCAATAAGGATGTTAAAAAAAAAAAAAAGAAGATCCCTCTGGTGCAGGCAGGCAAGAGTGTTTGCAGGAAGAATAGACTGAAACCTCCTTTCTCTTAGAAAATGGAGTTATAAGGATCTGAATGAGATCAGAGCCACATGGATGGTTAGAAGGGAGGGAGCACTGTGGAGGAGGATTAATTGACACAATTGATGGCTCACTAGATGGAGTAGGGGAGGAGGCAAAGGAAGGAGTGTTGCTGGAGAAGACATAGGGTCATCCCCAGGTGACCAGGGTGGTGAACAGAAATAGAGAAGGCAGGAGGGGGAAGAGCTTTTAGTCATGGTAGTGAGAACAGACTCTGGCATTTTGCATTTCACTTTCTAATATTCCAAGAACATTAACATTTACTGTCTAGATATGTGCGTGTTTGTGTGTGCGCACGCATGTGCACACCCACGTGCATGCGCCCACTTTATCCTGGGTTGTTTGTACGCCAAATATGTCTCTCTTCAATTTGATATTCAAGCTGGATATAAACAAAAAAGCTAATATAGTAGCTGTATTTTCATCACTAAACCAAACTACCCATTCATCAGAATAGATATGAGCAACCCCTTTGTCAGTTGTGAATAATCACATTTAATAACCAACATCCAATCACATATGCCCTGCTATAAACATGGTTTAGTGGTAAAACCAGAGCTTCTGGTCAAAAAGTCTTTGTATTCCTGCCCTAGGTTGGCCCAAACTGTACCACGTGCACAATGTGCTTTTCCTGTTAGGCCAAGTGAAAAATACAAGCCCCGAGAAGTTGTGCAAGACTCTTAGCTTGTTAAGTATCTGGGCTTGCAACAAGATCAAGATACCTGGGACATTGGGGGAGGCAAGCTGGAGAAAGAACCGTTATAGGAAAAAATGGGGCATGAGATGAGGGTCATATCCCAGGTCTTGAAAGAGTCCCTGGGATGGGCTGCCAAGTGAGGGTCCTTGGTTTCAAGCAGGAAAGAATTCAAGAGTGAGCCATAGTAAAGTGAAAGAAGGTTTATTTAGAGAGATACACACCTCCATAGACAGAGTGTGGGCTGTCTCAGAAGGCAAGAGGCGGCCCCAGGGCATGGCGTCATCTCTTTGGAAAGTGAGAGAGCCCTGAGGTATGGGGGTGGTTAGCTTTTATGTGCTGGGTAATATCATAGTGTAACAAGTGGGAGGATTATTCTGTCTTAGAGAAGGGGTGAGGATTTCCAGGAGTTGGGGCACCATTCACTTTTTGGAATTTTTGGTCAGCCTCAAAACTGTCATGGTGACTGTGGGTGTGTCATTTAGCATACTAATGTATTCCAATGAGCATATAATGAGCCTCAAGGCCAACCAGCAGTGGAATCTTCTGCCATTTTGGGCCCAGTAGGTTCTAACCAGTTTTTGTCATATTCTGTTCTTCTTAATGTTTGTCTCATTCATTTTTTTAACATCTTTATTGGAGTATAATTGCTTTACAATGGTGTGTTAGTTTCTGCCTTATAACAAAGTGAATCAGTTATACATATACGTATGTTCCCATATCTCTTCCCACTTGCGTCTCCCTCCCTCCCACACTCCCTATCCCACCCCTCTAGGTGGTCAC